AACTTGGCTGAAAGAGAGTGAAATGGTTGTTCCCTACTTAGTTTACTCTGACTTAACTTACAAAATCTACAGATTATGTTGTAAAAACGTTTTACTCATAATTTAATGTAACACACCTTTGAAAGTAGTAAGTACAGGAAATGCTGATTATGTCCAGAACGCTGAGTTGTTAAATCTACTTTTATTTTATTATTCGTCACTTAACTAAACTATGGATACAACTGGACTTGGTAAATTATTAATATTTATCCCTTAGAGTACTAGTGTGAAACATAGGGATAGAGTAACACGTCACCATTTCACTCTCTTCTCTCCTGTCTTCTTCTCCTGTCAACCTAACTCCACGACTACTCACAAACTTTCATTTCTTCCTCACATGATCTCATCCATGTCATCCTCGGAAGCACAAATCATCGTTTCCCATTCGATTTCCACTCGATGGCCTAGCCTAGCACGTGATGTCCCCAAACCGTCTTCTCAGTCTATATCCAATCCAATCCAATCCAATCCAATCAAAACGAATCGAATCGAATCGAATCCATCTCCACTTTCCTCTACTGCATATTTGTAGGGTGATAGGTTCTCGGTTGGTTGGTTCGTTGACAGACAGACAGGCAGGCAGGCAGGCAGACAGGCAGGCAGGCAGACAGGCAGGCAGGCAGGCAGGCAGGCAGGCAGACAGTCAGCCAGCCAGCCAGCCAGCCAGAGTTCCTTGTTGATTATTCTTATTATTCTGGTCATCTGATCCTCAGTGTCAGTATCGAGTGAGTGTAGTCGGCAGCTGTTCATGTATGTCTACAGTTTGTTGGAAATGCTTTCCGTGACACGCCAAGTCTGTGAACCATCACATAGAAGCACTGATTTGCTTGACTGAATTAGTGTTGAAAATCCAGATCTTGTTCACGCTTTATGCTGAGTGCAGTGCAGTGCAGTGCAGTTCTGTTTCGATACTATTCACTTCTTAAGTGATTTACTACTCATTCTTATTGCTATGTTCTGCCTGATCACAATTCAGTTTCCAAACTTCTTGTTGAAACGTATTTTGATTACTATTCACTACCCATGAGTTTTTGTTTTTTATATTTGAATGACAACTCATTCACTGACATTATTTATGTTGCCACGCTTGACAAACCGTTTTTATCTATCAAATCCTTACACCTGAAAAACTGTATAAATTTGCGATTGTACAGCTTTGAAAATGAAGTCACCGAAAAGAGACCCTTCGCTGAAATACTTGTTCATCCTTCAAATCACTATGGGTATAGTTCACACATTTCTTTCTTCGTCTTCCTTTTTATTGCCTTATTGCTTGATGGACTGTTATGAGGTCTCACGGTTATTCAGTAATCTGTCTGGCAGACATAATTTACAAAATAACTTTCACTGACAATTCTAGTTACTGGATGATGATTGAAAGTGAAATGAAAGTTCGGACCACAGTCGGACTCTATTCAGCGGCAATTGAGCGTGAAACCCGGTGGTCACTGGCTAGAAATCCATCATGGTTCAAATTTTCATTTCGCCTTCAATCATCACCTAGTATCAATACTAGTCTGCCAAACCACAGCTGTCTTAGATAGTCAAAATTATAATTCTGATTACTTTTATGCAGGTACAAATTCCTGCTAAGGTTAAAAGGAAACCTTTCTTGGTAAGACGAATAGATGATTATGAAGTAAAAGTGTAGCTACAAAGTCAAGTTCGATGTTCACATTACTATATGCTCTCCATTTTTTTTGACAGGCTTAGTGCCAGTGTTTGTTTTTTGACCCTTTTTCTGGGTATTATTTTTCAACTAAGCTAAATGTTGGGACAAATAAAGCGTCATCAGAAGAATTATTTAAATTTCCTTTTATAAAACTTCTCCGTCAACAGTGAGAAGTTCGACGAACACATTAACAATTTTGAGTATAAGTACTAAATCTGGTGATTTTCAAAGAAATAGTATGGATAGCTGTCTGTAAAGCCATGATTTTCGTCTTATGTTATAAAAGCATTAATGAATCATACGGGCTGTGGCTGAAAAAAAGAATGCAAGATGTGGCAGATGAGAACCACGTATTTTCTATCTCATGAACAGTTAACCAAACTCCCTAAAGCATTTATGCCGACTGGTTGTACATTACCTCAATGAGAAAATATTTTGATTATTTGTTGTCATGTGTCACGTTTAAGTCGTATGTAAAACTGGAGTAAGCATTCTGAACTATATATCGTCCCTCCAATTATAATGAAGCCTTGAAAATATGATAAACGCCATAATCTAATGGACATCAATTTCATTTTAGAAACTGAAAAGTGGCAACAGAGTGTTTTACATACTTGATCAAGCTGTTGAGTTTTGTGGAGTGATTCAAAATATGCATCGTCGTTATTAGTCAGGAATTTCCTTTTAGACTGAGACATAAATTTCAAATAATAGAAGAAATGTAAGAAGTACGGATATCATCAGTGCAGACAAGAGAAACTAAGGAGCTTCTATTTAATACCGCGGTCCAGATTGAATTAATGATGAAAATGAAAAACTAATTTTGCTGTAGTGTACGTCAAGTTGGTACTGCTATTAATTTCAGACGTGGAGGCAGAGTTGATTTGAAACAGCGTAACTGACGACGATATTAATAATAATAATAATAATATGGTGATGAAGTGCGAAGTCATTTTCACATTATTTAAACCGTTATGATCCCAAAGCACTTAGTTCAATAAAATGCTCAAAAAACGTGATTGTTTCTTAGAGGTCAGTAATACTGGGTATTGCATAAGATTGAAAATCTCTGTAAATAGCATCTGTAAATGATAAGGTGAGAAAGTGGTCTGAACGCAACAAAGCACCAAATCATTGGTGTTAAGAGACTTTGTCTCAACTATTATTCACAATTTTGTTGATACGATTGAGCGTTTGATAGGGAAAAGTAACACAATTCTGAGAAAAAGAAGTTTACATCCTTCAAAAAGCGCAATTATTTTGGTAACCTAGGGACATTTGTTTTTGGAAAACAGAAAATGACATAATTTAATAAATACATCAGTAAGGATCTCTCAAGAAAAATATTGTACTATCTATCACCACTCAACAGAGAGTTTTCTGGAAAAGAAATGTGTTTGATATTTTCGATATCTCCATAATCTGAAAGGAAATTGGATTCACTACTACATGTTCGACCAACTTTAGTAGAACTCTTAAGTATGAAAATCTAAAAACTTCCTTATTGGTAGGAGTTTCTTGGATAGAATAAGAAAGGTCAACGAACTCTATACACATTTATTCAACAAATTTGATTATTTTTCAGGAAAATAAACATAATTGTGTTTACGAAATTGTATCAAATAATTGACTGATGTTTTTGTACTTTCAAGTTTGTGCTTATCATCAGGTTAGGCCCCTTCATCAGTACTTACTTCATAAAAAAGTCTCTTATTTACTCATATTCTTTTCGACTAAACCGATCGGCAAATATTGGTAATATGGACTTCTGTGTGAATGTGCCGAAAAATCTTTCTCTTCAGTTGGGAGTAACGGGTGATGATTTCGAGTCCAAGTAGAAACATCACTATATGAGAAGCAGGTACGCCCCACTAACAGGTCCTAGATTGGGATAAACACACACCCTGATTGTCATTTTCAGTTTTGCTAAGGTTATTATCAGGAACAAGAGAACCGTATTTCATGCCATACATGCTTTTCTCTAGCATCCAGAAGTCACGACATAAATTCTAGCAAAACATAAGGTGTGACCAATCAGTGATGAAAGCTTTAGTGAGTGTTCCCTAATGTATAGTATTCACTTGACTTCGACCTGTCATCCAGTATTTCAGGACGGGAACTGGTGCTAATGTTTGACGATCTAAGTCTACAGAAATCATTCAGAGTAATGTACATGAGTGTTAAGGACTTACTCGTTCAGAAATGCGGTTCGGCTGACATAGGGTAAGTTTATCATTAAAAGAATTAAAACAGCACTTTTTGGTGTTGGTTTAAAAGCCTTTGAAGTAATCAGTGAAAATAAGTCCGGTTGTTTTACATCGGCAGCATTTTAAGCTTTCTGACAGATCGCCTAATGAGGGTGTAACTTAAGAAAACACGTAAGCTAAATACTAAATCCATTGGTGTTAGCCGGTGTCATTGACAGTGTGATGTAAAAAAGTTTCCCAAGGCTGTATGAATCAGAATCAGAGCATTAAAATCTACGTCCTAAAAATGCACCTAATTCAGTTGGGAAAGTCTTATCGTTCCCAGTCATTCTGAGAGCCTAAAAATCTATGTATTTGAAGCCAACTTTCCTCCAGATTAGGAAATTTGAAGAATGATGAATTGTGCTTGTCGGTTGTGCATACGCTGTCTAATTCAGTGTATGATTTTCCGTTACATAAGTGTCCTATATAAATCCTAATTAAGTACGAACAAGTGTAATTTTAGACTTAGTTTCACTGAAATTAAAAGGGAAGCTAAAGTGCTCTTAGGCTAATTATACAAGGTTTCAGCCTACAGTCCGTCAGTGGTTTTGCAATCTACTCACTTCTACTAAAACTATGTATTACTATGTTTCTCTGTTCCGTTACTCTTGCGGTTAGGGTTTGATCGAATAATGGAAAAGAATTCAGAAATTGAACTGGTCATAAGTAGCATCACGCTATTTTTATTTGGTCAAACTATCACTCAGTAAAACCGTGATAAATTCAATTATTAACTTTGGTAAACAACTGTTTTCGTTGGCTCTGAGTACGCTATTTAATGGTAATTATATTATTGTTGTTGTTCTAACTAGTATTAAAATGTGTGGTCAGAAAAACTTTTCTTAATTCATCTCATTAAAATTTCTCTTCATGACCTTTCATTTTCGTGAGACAAATATGCACCTATTACCAATGGATTACTTCTAAACAAACGGGATAATCATCAGTTCTGATGCACTATAATTTTTCTTTTTTCTACAATATTAACACTGGATTAAGTAAGTGATAATATAATTAAAAGAAAGATGAGTTTGAAACCTACTTTATTTTGCAGAATATTAACAGCTGTATCACATTCACTTCGATTTAGTGAACACTTGAAACGTGGATCAAGAAATGTTGAAATGAGAAGATACTCATCCAATATACCATTTCATTATAAATTGTTTTCAGATAATTAATCGTGGTAGCACAAAACTGGTCAGCTAGATCATCAGTCTTTTTCTCCGTATTCATTGAATATAAATTTTCCAACATCGGTCGAATCATTGAAACTGTGAAACATGATAATTTCTCTCTACAGAGTCTTTCTGTTTCTTGTCCAATCTATAAGAGATGAGAAAAGTGAAAGACGAAAGGCCAGAATACGTCCTGTTTTACGGTATATATAAAAGCAATAGGGTCTGTGTCTAGAAGTATATTTCCGAAAATATCAAACAATTCTGTTCAAAAACTGAGAATTATTACAAAGTTGCTATAGAAGAAATACTTCAAGGTGACTTTATTAAATACTTATGAATATTGATAAGTTATAATGCAACCACTGAGTATCATGAAAGTTGGATATGTTTTAAATCAACTCTAAGGGACCTGATAACCTTGAAAACCCCATCAATATATGTAGAGATTAGTTACAATAATGTGTTGATCCATAATACACTGATACTAACAGGCATTTCAAGGGGGATTACTTCATAGGTAAAAGGTTAAATGGAATTAATTAATTAAGAATATTTGTAGCTCAGGCGGGTGGTATTGATTCTATTGTGTTCTTGGAGCTGTTTGTCTGATTGTGGAGCTTTCTTACTGAAGCTAGTGCTGATGACGTCGTCTAGAAAGACAATGAAAGCTCCATGATTGAACAAAATAGCTCAGAGAAAGCAATACAGTCAAGAAGGTGCAAGTTCTGAAACTCTGTATAATAATCGAAAAAACACTGAGCAAAAAATGCATTATATGATGTTACTTGTATTGCAGGTACAACCGGTAGACGAGTTCTAAATAGTTCTATATTAGATTGCTTATTCGATGTGGCACACAATGAAACAGTATAAACAATCTAATATAGAATTATACTCTACCACATTGCCAAAGTTTTCCCCTTACGTCAATGAGTCTAAATTAGGACGAAACGCGCTTTCTAGATTACACTACTAGACACTATCGATCATTACTATCAAGCATACGTAGTAAGTTCTCCTAGTTTTAACATGAATGCCTTTGGTTGATTTCCTGTTCTTAATCATTAATGGCAAGTTTTACTTATATGAAACAACATGAAATAACAACTTGAAATATTTCCAAATCCCCACAGCTCCCTCAAAATTCAATTGAACTGGTGCTCATTGGTGACTAGCTTCGAGAGGTATTCCCGAAATTCCAATGAGAAGTCATGACCGGTGGGGGCAAAGCCTAATAGTTGTGAGGACAGTTACTCGACGATGATATTGGGTGGCGGTTGCGCTATATCGTGAGCTAACAGAAGTTGGAAATATGGACCAATGGGTCTGACCCAGTGGCTTAATGGTAACGCGCTGACCATGGAACCTAAATGTCGCGGGTTCGATCCCCGTCGAGGTCGTAGGTGCGCACTTCTGGGGAGTCCAGTGCTCCCAGGTTTCTTTTGTTCTTCCGGCTGATGTCAGTCTACGATGAATAACAACTTGGAATATTACATGAAGCTGCAAGCTAGTTGAATGCTTATAAATAATATGAAATCTTTTTTGAAATTTTGATGGATTTCATTGTACGGTCTAGAAAATCAGAATGTCAACGTATTTACTGAAAAGATTGGGCGAGATGTAGAAATCAATAGTAAATGTAGCCACATATTTTTACCAATCTTCAGTAAGAAGACGTAAATTGTCTGAACCGTGTAGTGTATTTACTCAACACATTTCGAACTATCTGATCACATACATACTTGTCATAGGTATCTATATAAAAATATTCATGCTGGTAAGGATGAGAAAATAAAAAGAGGTCAGGTAGGAAGGCTAAATTAAAGGCCGAATTACAATGAAAATCAGTAGAGCGAAAATAATCATACATCGAACTTGGTTTTCAATAGTTGAATTTACCAAGGAAGATTTAATGTAACAACAAATTGTTTATGAAGACTCAAAGGTGGTTTCAACTTTCTAATAGCTAGGGCCTCAACAAATTTAAGGATCTCTCCCCCAACATGTTTCGTAAATAGGCGTAAAGGAAGTAGCCATATCAGTCCTATGGCCTGTCTCAACTATATGTTTGGAGATCGAAGTACTTGGACGTCTGCTACCAGCAGTTCGAAACGTGTTGCGCAAATACATTACACGGTTCAGACAATTCACGTCTTCTCACTGTTTTGTCGAAGCTTATAAAGGGAACTAACTGTTTTAAAATCTTCAGTAACCACATTTGTACGCGTTGTATGTATTCCTATTTTGGGCACCAGCTGATTATCACTCGGAAGGAATATAGCTATCGTAATAATAATAGCTGATCTATGAGTATATCCGATACATAAAGTCTGTTTATTCACTTTGATTACTAAGGAATTTTATATATCCATGCAACTTATTGATTAAGTATTCAACTGTAACTAGTTGGCTCATGGTATGAATCCTTGCACAAACCAGATTTCCAGTCGTATCTGAAAAGCATTTCCAAATATCTTTATCAATTGTAGCTGGAAAACAACCAGATAATAAGATTGGGGGAAACTTACCTTTCTGACTAACGTGTTCATAATGTAAGGGTTAAATTTGTACTTCTGCTAACATGAAGTTCAGGTTTCAGTTGCATGATGATATTAATTTCTTTGAAGCTTAACATGTATCTTTCGCCTGGTTAACTAGTTCACTAGTTACTAGCCAGTCCTAAGCCGGGTAAAGAGGGGAAGGTTGGGCGTAGGGCTAGCAACCCTACCCCGCAAAACCAATCCAATCTCTAAAGAAACTTCTAAGTGCAAAGAAAATATACAATGATAACTTTCAGCATGTTGTTTATTTCATGGTTACAACACTAACAATTTGAAGGATGACTTGCACTACACGTTAGTTGTTTTTCTTCTTTGAGTTATTCTATGACTTCACTAGTTGTTATAGTGTAAGCCTAGTATGTTTACTGCACTACTGTCTAATGGATGTGTTTATTTCTCATTTTAATTTTCTGCATATTTTCACTTGACTGACTAAATTAAAGCTGACAGTGTAGTTAATTTACTATAGCGTTTTTTTTACAGTTTTGACCTCTACTGATAATTTACAGGTAATTTAAGGTAATAAGGAGTATCATCTAATTGGTGTTCTGATCCTTGTTTTAATTGTATATTGAACTTAGGAAAGAATTTCTTGAGATGAACTTTTCAGCATAAAGCAATGGGTTGGTAACTAATTAAGAGATAAATCATAAAAAATGAATTTCGTCTGAATAACATATTCTACTAGATTTGCATATAAAACTAACTTTACAATAATCTAAATATTAGCTTATTGTATGTGTTGACCGTATATTTTGTTTAGGTTGTTAGGAGTTGACGAAAATCTGAGGATAAAAGATCGATATTCTATGAATATTGTTCAGATTTCGTTATTTAGGTTTGTCAAGAGAACTAAATGTACGAAATTATATATCTCTGTTGACCTTTTTATTTATTTACGTCTTAACCTGAATGTGGGGCATAATTTAATGTTATACTTTGACTTATCTAGCCTTGGGTCAAGCGCATACATCGTCATGCGGTAAACTTTTATACGACCGAAGTATTATTGTCACCTTCTTAAGTCTATTGGAAAAGGTCTATGTCTGCTTTTCCGTTGATTCCTGTTTTGCTCATGTATCCACTTTCTAGAGACATTTTTTTACTGCTTCACTTTATTAAGGCTCATTATTCTGTTATTCAAATTGAAGGCTGCAGTTATATATATGATCAGGTTCAAAGATTATATATAATGTTGTTTTACTTTAAGCTTCTTTGTATATATTCCTAGGGAGATTGAAATATCACATAAACTTAAGTAATTTCCATGGAAACTTAAACAGACTGAAGTAAATACTGACGAAGTTACCTAACTTGGTTATGTAAAAATCCTGAGTTACACCTCATCTGTCTTACTGTTGTAAATACAAACTTTGTTGTTCTTCACATCTTATCATCTTCGTTGGCTTGTAGGAAACACTCTAAATAGTTTTTTGGTCAACGAACTATTCGACTGACAATCTATGAAACATCTTTGGCGTTAAGTGGAGCAGTAGTTTCGGATAATGATGATGGTGATGACGATGATTAGGCCATATTCAAATATCAAAACTGAAAAATCAGAGGTGTAATCATAATTTCAGAAATGATACCACATTCAGACTCCAGTATACTTCAATCTAAATGATATGAACATGGTTGAAGATTTTAAAAATATGTATAACTTATTTAGCTCACATATGAATGCAATCTTTCTCGTGGCTCCTGAAACTGACAGCACCTAATAGGTTTTACGTCTTTTAAAACAATACATTCAAGTTTTTCTAGACTTTAGGATCAAAATTTCACCTGGAAGAGTTGAATAAGTTCATCATTGGGTAAATGGATTATGAATGAAATATAGAATCCCATTGATGTAGGAAAATTAATTTCTGACATTCCGCGACTTCTGGTTGTAGTCTTGAAAGAAGCCATCCCCACGAAGTCGTGAAATATCAGAATTTTAAATTTCTACCTCATTGGGATTTTATAAATGTATCTCATTTGTAATATATACAAGTGATAGTTATGCAAACACTTAGTAGATCATTCACTGCACTAACAAAGCATCGTTTTGTCTAGTTTAGTTTCATACTGAAGATACTTTACATCATATCAGTTGGTCTTTGACAAGTATCTGTACGGATAGTTTCAAAACCTGATGTGAATTTTCTCAGTCGCCTCTAAGACAAACTCAGTGTTTATTATCACAATCCTTAAACGCGCGTCCTGGATTCTTCTGCTAGCCACAACCAACCAAATCCTGACTTGACTTACCTCGATTAGTTTTTGGATTTGATTGGCTAATTTCAATTCTGACTCAGTGAAATTAGGTAGCAAATGAAGGTTAGAGTGCGTCCATTTAATTAAATTTAAGACATTCGGCAGATACATAGTTTGATTAGTTTCTTCATTTTGCTGATTGTTAATATTCAGTTTGGAAGTTGGTTTTTTTGTCTCTTGTACACTTTCATCGAACTTTTGACGTAAATCATAGTAATTTCTTAAAACTTGTTTGACTGATGGTAAGCATAATGCAGACTATAATGGAAAAAGTAATAACAATAGTGACACTATTGAAGCCATTTTTAATAAGTTTATTACAGATCTTTGCAACTGAAATCATTGCGGTATTTGTAAATACTATTTAAAAAGAGAGACAAAAAAATTCATCTCAACACACATATTGCATTCATCAGTCAACATGGGATCGCCAATGCACTGCCCAACGGGAATCAGCGGTTATTACTGCAAAACAAATATTACAAGTCTCTGAAATTCGTCAGCACTTAGTTATCCCTCATGTAGTACCTGTATTTTGCGGGTGAACTAAGAGTTTATACTGAAATAACTGTTTTACACATTCATTTGATAGTGATTTGTGATTCTGTATGACTATACACTAATTTGAACAGTTGGGAAAGATTTGCAGCTTAGGATAAGGATAATGGTGGTTTGGTGTTCTCTCAACTTTGCTATTTTGTCGTGAACGTCTCATCACCAGGCTTGGTGACATCTTCTGAGCTAACTTTATAAAACATTTAAATTGTAAACCACTTATCTCATGCTGTGAGTAGAATATACAAATTATTACTTACCTGTGAAGCGTTGTTCATGTGAGCATCTACGCATGGTACAATGAGATAGCTGGGAAGTGGGAAAGATTCTTCTAGGTTAGTTAGTATACATTCTGAGGAGTTTGTTAATATAATTAAAGGCCATTCTGATAATATATGAATTATATTTGAATTATAACTGGAACAGATAAGGTCACAGAATGGTTTTAAAATTTCGTAGATTATTTGCGTTTTAGTTAACTGAAATCAGAAAAACAAGAGCACAGTAATAAATCATCAATCTTATACTTTTGTTTATTTGAAGGTAGTATTCCTGACAAAACGACATCAGTTAGTGGATCATTGAAAATGTGGGACGACTGGACAACTATCTAGTACTGTGTACTCCCAAGGAGTTCCATACCGAGACGAAACAGTTTTCCGTTACTCCTATGTTTCCAATGGTCCACCAAATTACATCAGTCCGCAATGGACACTATTTTGAAGTAAATAATTTTTTAATTTTAAATTACCAATTATACAGACATTTCGAAACAGTTAAATTCTAACATTGCCAAGAAAGGTGAGTTTAGAATAAAGATGCATAATGCTAAAACTCTTTGAATATGGTATTTCCTGTTATGGGATACTTATGTGTAACATTCCTAAATGCATTATATGAGACAAAAAATACTACAATATACTTACATTTTTATTTGTAGTCACATCTAAGTTATTAGCCAATGTGACTAACCCAGCCCTACAGGAAGCCGATAGCTGCCCGTCTTTGACTGCAGCAGTGGGTGACGCAGGTTTGAATTGCAGGCTGGACATCAGTTCCGTCAAGGTTGCAGATGCGTCTTGCTGACAAGCGCCAATAAATATGAAACCTAGTTTCAGGGCTTCCTGCTGTTTGCCTCCATCCAACTAACGGATACTAATTTAACTTTCAAGTTACTATCCACCTGTGCCTGATGGAGTTCAATTATGCTAACATCTACAGAAATTGAAATACCAGTACTCGAAGTGAAAGTAAACTAAGTTTATTCATGAAAGTTTTTCAGGGAAAATCACTGAATTATGACTTGAATTTTACCATAGACTTATCAATTAGACACTAAAAAATCGATATCTTTAAGTGTCACACAAGTTACTTGTTTTATCTTTCAGAAATAGAGGTAACTCAGTGGTATTAAGTCAATTGTCAGTGAACTTTGACTTCATACCTAATGCCATTAGATAACTTAAACTTCTGTTGAATTTATACAAAATAAGGACTCTGTGAATGTTAGTCGATCGCCTAATAATGATCTATTCGGAGTGAGGACAGAACCACTGGAGCAAATGTACTCGTGATTCGGAGAATGAAAGCTAAGTTCACTTTCCATTTAGTATCATATAATTGTGATACTACAGATTCATTGGGTCTCAGTAGCGAGTAAATAGTGTTTGATTAGGAACCAAACTATTTGATAAATATGAATTTCAGGTGTCAAAATACTACGTTAACATGATATCTATAATATATCAAACTGTATGTAATTAAAAAGGAAAGTTCTTTACATTTACATTATAAAGATTACCCATCAAAAAAGTTAAAATTACAAAACGTGAGTATTGATAGTTTGGTTTGAGTATTATTAAGAGAGTTTGTGTCGATGTCTCTCTCAATAATTGCATTTGGATATTCGGTGAAAACCTGGTGTTTCTCCTACCTTGGTAGCATAAATGTTTGTACTTTGCAATTAAACCTCAAACTGTCTACATCAACGATTAAGTTATGTGTTGTTGACAACATAATAATAAGTAAATTAAGTTGTTACTATTTATTGATATGCTTGTAATTCTCAAATAGGGCGTAGCTCGTGTCCTGGATTCTCCTGCTAGCCACAACGAAGCGAAATTATCATAAATAACATTCAGGCAATATCAAGGCATCCGCATAGGAGCGCATATGCCAGTAGAGGTCGAACAATTCGATGCGATATAAACAACGAAGGGTTACAAGTATATCAATAAATAGTAATAACTACTACTCGTTGTACAAGAAGTGGTTATCGTTCCTCCGTGACAAAGTGGATAATGCCTTGGAGTTTGGAGCGATGGGTACGAGGTTCCAGTCTCAGTGGGAGCACCATCACTCACTGGGGTGCAGGTACATCCAACTGAGGAGTCCCAAATAGAACGAAACGTGTCCTGGGTTTTCTGCTAGCCACTACTAACCAAATTAAACTAAGTTGCCTTAAAATCCCAAGCATATCCCGCTAAGTGTTCAAATACAATAAAGTAAGTATTAAAAGGGATCTCATATGTAACTATTGACACAACAAACCTCATCATTTGAATGTTTCTGCCACTAAATACCATTTTCTTTGTAAGGCCCCAAATAGCTCTGCCTAATACACCTAGTATCTCTATGTTTTTTATTAAATATCTACATATACAGAATTTAATTTTGTACAACTGATTGGAAGGTATTTCTCCTCAACTCAGTATTAGCCGAGTACTACGTTAAATATAGGCCATTATGTCTACAACAATATCAGCATGAAATAAATGTGAATGTTAAAATTACCTCAAAAGTACCATAGAAAATATTGTCTTTTCATAAACATTATTATAGTTTGTAAAGAAATGCAATTCTACATCAACATAATCAAAGGATGGATTGTTTGCATGAAATATGATGTTATCATGTTGATTTAAAGACCAAAATTTGAGGAAAATTGTGATATTTGGTATGTTGATTGAAAAATTCGATGATTTTTGTAAATTGATCAAACTTCTAATCTTATTATCAACACGAAATTTCATTTCTTGATAGAGACGTGTTAAAATTTCATTTTCCATAAAATCGGACGATGGCAACAAGTTGAACTCCAGATTATAATTGACGTTTACATTTGTCTTCCGAAATTTATCCCACAAAGTAGAAATTAATATCTATAAGATGAACAAAAAAAGCAGATTAGTGTTTCTTTTCTGTCAGATTTACTCCTTTACGTTTGCTTACTTAGTCACAACTGTCTAAGTATCGAATCAACTTTTCTATCTCAGATAGTCAAGTGGTTTACAAATGTTTAAGAAAGGAGAGACAACAAATCAATGAGACTCATTCGGCGTATTCAACAATTAGATGACAAAGAGTGTATGTTTCCCCACCATTATTATTGATTTTAAGCTATGTCACTAAGGGTTTGCAGCCACTAATTTCTGTCGTCTCGAATACCCCCGTCCACATGGTCCACACCTCCTTATACGACCCAGATTAGCAGTGAAAGACTACATAGACCGATCTCGTATTTTGATCTGGCCATCCTTAATCTTCTTCCAACCCGACTTTACTTCACCTAACATCATATTTCAAAGCAATTTATAGTTCGGTATGCACGGGAGATGTCTGAATCTTATAAGTTGGTTAAAAACTCATAACCTTATCAACTGACTTGGCTTCCTTGCTTAGCACTATACTTCTAACTTCTAAATTGCCCACGTGATGATTCCACTACACTCGATAAATGCTATGAAAACACTTTTTATCAAACGCCTGTAATACTTCATATCTTCTACTATCATAAGCAATGTCTCATAGTCATGCAACAGGATAGAGAGAACTTATGCAAGCTATACTCGTTCTTTGATAAGTAGTCAGATACGTTACTAGTTCCTGAAATGATGTTAGATGGCAAATATCAGATAGGTCTTTTAAATCCAGTCTGAGATTTCTTCAGCAACCAACCCACTCAGGCTCCTGCAACTTCCCAAGTGAGAGAAGTTGTCAGTAGCTTCCATCCTCCTACTCCCTATTCTTAAAGCTAAAGTAACTGCATACCAGTTTGAAATATCTTCTTACACTTGGTAGGTGAAAACGTATACCAAATACATTTCGACTGTTGTTCGAGACATTCATGAGATCCTGTATTTTTTTCAACGTTTTTGCCTACCTACTCCAGACACACAGGAGTAGGTCAATCAAAGTAAAGCTTGATATACCGAGAGTCCATTGATATGTTTATAATGAGGTTAAAATGGAACAGTGATAGCAGACATCCCTGATGGTCACCACCTGTTGTCGTCACTTTAAACTATAACTCTTCATAAGCTCTTACACAACTGCATGACTTGAAGTAGAGAGTTATGTTTGGTATAATATACCTGCTGAATACTTTCTTCACATTGAGACACTGCTACAACACCTCTTGGTCGACAAAGTCAAATCCCACTTTCGGGTCAAAAAATGTGGCCAGTGCCGACTGAATCACATAAGTTGTGTGACAGTAAAGGTTTCGTTAATTCATTCTAGTTCAGATCTGCAGCCCATCTGGTTTTCTTCAGATTTATCTTCAGTTCTGGCATCGTTTAACTGTGGAGGTGAGAATCGTTGACATGTTGTTCGTTAAAATAATTTCCCCAAGTTTGTCACACGAAGACTTCTCTCCTTGCTTACAAGCTACAGTGATCAGCGGTGTAGACAGTTTGACGTGACCACCTCTAATGCTCACATACCAGGTAGCACTTGAGTTGTTCATTTAAGTAATTTCTTGCCACCATCTTTAAAAACCTTTGGTGATAATCTGTTAGGTTCTACCGCTTAGCAGCATTCAAAGTTCATAACAACCTTTCCACCTTCGAAGAGAGTAGGAGGACTGGCACAGTATATTATAGTGTATGTATAGTACACTGAATGATTTGCTCTCTAGTTCCCACAATACTGATTAGAAATTATGAAAAGAATTAAGCACAGTGACTCCCCTAGATCATGTACGGCTGCTTCAGTAAAAGACGTTACAAGATGAAGTATAAAATACAGCGACTCACTGAATGTAAACTTTGCCGGATAAGTACAAGTGTATAAATGGATTTAAAGTTCGATTGGAATAATTTCTAATTCCCTTTAGTGTAATTAGAAGCCTTGACTTCACTATTTACAAGAGCTAAAGCAATCATTTCTAGTTGGAGTTCTGGATTGTAGAATTTACAGCAATTATAAGAAATTCCCGTACTCTTCTTTGAAAATGCCATGTTCTAGCCAAATAATATAATATGAGACCAGAGAAAACAGATTCATACCAATGGTCAAAGTAAGGATATGGTAAAGCGACTACCCAGCAGAAATCATTATCTAGGTACTCCAAACACCTGGTCTCTGAAGGAGTCCATCGGAAATAAATTCATTTGATTCGATACAGATTTGATTTGTTCAATTCACTTCAACTTCTGCCAGCACCATTGTATGGTGAAAACGTTTTCCAGCTACTCAATTCAACTAGTAGTATATATTTAGAGATTTTAAAAATTAGACTTTTTCATATACCTTTTCTTACCTGTGGCAAGAAAATGAAATGACAGCAGTGTCAAGAGGTCAAAACCAGTATATGTACTTTTTAAAGATATATTAATACTATGTAAACTGCTCTTGAAAATCAATCACTTATGCCTCTCAAATCGAAAAAGAAATGTAATCCATATTTAATCTGATTTGCCCGATTTAACTGGATGTAGTTGGTGGTTTTTGAACATTTGTTTCTCAACAATAATAACAATTAAACCATATAAAGTCACACACCTTAGTCCCGAAACACTTGCTATCCGATTAATAACAATTCATTCTGATAGACAGTTCTAATCTTGTTCTTTTATTTCAGGGAAACCTCCTTTTCCTACTGTTCATGGAATTAAAATAGTAATATCTAAACAATTTGCATTGTCGTAATTACCTTCAAAAACTCAATGTATTCCATTTTTAATAAAAGAACGTTCTAGGAAAGTTACGAAATTGTGGAAATCAGATCATAAAATGTTTTCAAATCAAGTCACTTCACGGAATGTTATTTGCCGCTTGCAGTGGAATAAAGAAATAACAATTTTTCTGGGATACAATTGATTCATTTTAGCAAACAAAAAGATGAACTATCCTCAAAATGTAGTGTACTTAGATTACCGGCCAATCCAAACATTTCAGATGACAGAGTTCAAAAAATGTATCAGCAAATGTTCCTTAAGTCCTGTTCTAATAACAAGAGTACTGAGCCATATCATTGAGAGCATTTAATTTTACTTGCTCCTTTAGGGCTGAGTATATCTGCCATGGTATACACTGGATTGTGAAACGTCCTCTTGATCACTCCTCGGCCTAGTTGAAATATAGATGGCTGAAATGTATGTTCATTTGCATAACAGAACATCTAGCAGACACAAAACACTCAATCACTTTTGAAATATACTTTCAAAATTTTGTATAAGGTGCCATGAAAACATCAAAAAAAACATCTCGGCATACATGAAACGTTGGCATTGAAACTTCCTAACGTTATGGTGCGTTCCTAAGATGCCTGAGCAACCTTTTTTCTCGCCACAGTCATTAAGTGGGATCTGTTACTATAGATAACTGCATGCTGTATGATACTTCATTTTCTAATCCTTCCTTTGCATATACTTTCTAAATCCCTAGATAGACTACGTTACTCCCCTTTTGTTATCCAGTGTAGTTTGATCGCTGACGGGAAATTATTCTCTAATATTACATGCATTCCACTATTTACGTTCACGAATGCACGGTTGACTGAATGAGGTTCTTTAAGAAATTTTTCTGCTATACAGTTTTATACTCTCTTCTCGATTAACAATGAAGTAATACTTATTCGTGATCTTTAAATTTAACTGTAACAAATTCACATATTTTTCCCTTTATTCGAACATAAAGTTATAAAATCCTCATGAGCATAATGATTGCCTTCATACTACGATATTTTATTTTGACTGTAGTACCACCACTGCAACGACTAAAGTCGAGTGCTAAAAAATGTAAGCCAACATGGAGAAAGTAACTTAAAATGCTTCATGCATTGCAGGAAATGATGATGGTGCAGAAGATAATTGAAATGTGGATGGATAATATTCTTGATTAAGTCTTATAGAATTGTAGAAAAAATTGTTTCTTGTCTTAATTGTAATGTGCCAATTTCAATATAGCATGAAAAATATGAAGGGTGTATTCGGGGATTTCGCCATAATATGAGTCGTTGTCAAAAACCACCTCCAATATATACTGATTTATACGCTTCTATGTTAGTTGGTTGGAAGCCATCAGCAGGGAGCCCTGCAACTAGGTTTCGTGCTTATTGGTACTCATCAGTAAGGTGTGTCTGCAACCTTGATGTAACTGAAGTCCCGTCTGGGATTCGAACCCATTTCATCCACTCTTATTTGGGCCACGATTGACCCCATGTAGAACTGGGTTACTTACAGTGATTGGTCATGGGAGAGCCACCAATTGCATGTTGTCTAGTCTTCAGTGCAGACCGAATTCTATCGAACATATTTACAATGTGACCCCTCCTCTACCTCCTAACTTGGTTAACATTTTGCACGAGGATGTTGGCAATATTCTGACTTCTGCACTTATGAACCATGTATTTGCAGAAAATCTGCAGCTCACACAAAACAATCTACTAGAAAAGTCAGACAACATGAATGGCTGTCCAAGTTTTTCTTTATCTGTTCGACCGCTTTGAGGAGAGATGCATTAAGAGAATGTGACTCTGTAATTCTGAACTTTGTGTCTGTGTCTGTGCTGAATTCAGATACAAACTCCTGTTCAACACCAACAAGAAAGGACAGAATGAATTTGTGGGGTGATTACTATATGATGGCTTACAATAGTAATCCCCTAAATTTGCACATGCTAGTCGCAGGTAAGCTTCTGGAAACTCTAAACTTAAATTGCATACTTGCCGGAACTCCTTAGCTAGATGTATCTTTAGAAAGGAGAATAATGGTTTTTCAGAAAGGTTCCAGATACTCCTTCCTAATAAGTGCAAATTAGTGCACAATTTAGTACAGGGCTTTAAGGTAGTTGTTTTCACTGATTCAATAGTCAATGCATTTAGTCTCAAATCTTCATAAAAATATCCTCAGAATAACTTGCCAAAGAAAAGGATGCA